GAGGCAGGGAGGGAGGGAGGGAAAGAGTTCCCACTGGTAGCTACTCCCTTACTATTTCTGGGCTCTTGTCTGTACCTAAGAGAAAAAACATATTGTATCACTATGGCTTTGTGTGTGTGTGTGTGTCGGGGGGGGGGGGGGGGGGGGGGGGCGGGTTCTGTTCGTGGGCCTGAACTCTGGGCCTGGGTGCTGTCCCTCAGCTCTTCAGCTCAAGGCTAGCGCTCTACCACTTGAGCCACAGCGCCACTTCCGGCTTTTTTTCTTTTTGCTTATGTGGTGCTGAGGAATCGAACCCAGGGCCTCATGCATGCAAGGCAAGCGCTCTACCACTGAGCCACCTTCCCAGCCCTCACTATGGCTTTTTAAAACAAAAATACAGTGTTTTTGTTTGAAGAGGTGTGGGGTATATATGAATGGGTCCTGTGTTGTACAGTGCCCAACAGAAAGACATTCTAGTTATAGTTTTGTAATTTTCATAGGCCCCACACAACCACCATAGGTTTTTAGAATTATGGTGCTCTCTGTGACTATAACAAAATATCTGAGATAGTAAGCTTAGAAAAGGGGTTGTCTGGCTCCAGAGTTTCAGAGTTTCTAGTCTTTGCTAAGTTGTTCCATTGCATTGAACCCGTAGCATATCATTGCAGGAGCTTGTGGTGAATGCAATCATGAGCCAGGGAACAAAGAGAGAGAGTAAGACACCAGAGCTCCACAATCTCCTTCCAGAGCATGCTGTTATGATATAGAGACCTCCCACATAGCCTTTCCATTGTACCATTTTAGGGACAAAGCTTTAACATATAGACCTTTGAGGGATATTCAAAATCCGACCTATAGCAATATCCTCATATGAAACTATCCTTCAGTCTCCCTCCACAAGCCCAAGTTTTCAGTAAGATTGACCAAACTCAGAAGGCTGTGTCAGCTTTCATTAAAACAGAGTAAAATGATCTGACTTTTGTCCAGAGGCAAAGCTGGTGAGGTCAGCAGTCATAAGAATAAGAGTAAAAAAAAAAAAAAAAGAATAAGATTTAAAATGGAGATCAAGAGATGGGAGACAACATTGCCCAAGAAAGGTCACTGCTGTGTGCTTTGACAGGCACACTGCACAAGGAATAGGTTTGGCCACATCAGGTAATATCAAAGCAGTGGAAGTTGGAGGCAGACACTTGGCTGAAAGTATCTTCTTGTTGTGAATATACTTTTTCAATTAGGAGTAATGCATGAAATATTCAAATGAATGTGAAATTCACCTGCAACCGTCTGGCTAACACCCACAGACACTTACCTAGTGTTGACGCTTACCTAGTATTGATATACCTTGGCTGCCCAAGGTATATCCAGGAACATTCCTGGGAACATCGTCAACTGCTGAATAGCTGCCCCAAATCATGCCTTTACCTTTACCTAGAAGCTCTACCCTGGGAAACTTAATCAAGAGAAAGAGTCCCAAAGAAGATGCTCCTTTATGCATCATGAGGGTATGCACACCAGTAAAAGTTAGAAGGAACTTTGTTCCCCCCTATCAGAAAAAAGGTAAAATAAGTTGTGTCCATCCACTTGATAGACTACACAGCTACCCAAGAGAAAGATCCCACCACAATGCTTTTTAATGCTGGGCTTTAAAAGGGGGCTGTGATTTTTTTCACTATGTAAAATGGCTTAATCCTAATGATATTAGCACTGACACTATCCAATTCGAGCTGCTTTATAAAATTTTCTCTTATTATTCTAGTTCTACTCGCATGATAAAAAATCAGGAGGAAAAAAAATAAATGGTATTAAAATAGCTCTAAACTTATACTTCTATATAAATAAATTCTTTTCAAGAACAGCAGCATTTTAACAATCTAGGTATCATGGTGGGGATTTTTTTTCAATCCATTACACTATTTTTTTTCTATAATAACATGCTTTCAAAGAAGTTATAATAAAATAAAATGAAGAATTTTTAAGTAAATATAAAACAATCAGGCTTCTTTAACTTTCAAATAGTGCCTGGATGTGCTTCACTAAATAGACATTCATTTGGGGTCATTCCTTCACTCTGTCACCTGTTTTTCCACTATTCATGCTTACAGTGTATTTCCATAAGGCAAAAACAAAGAATTAACAGATTATCTATGAAGAATAAGAAGAAACTGTGAAAAGTAGGTCAATTTCAAGACATCCTCCCAGAGGGGCTTGGCCTCAATATTTCACTGCAATTGATTAAGAGATGTGAACATATCCACATCCTATCTTCCCTCAGGTTCTGTTCTAACCCAGTCATGCAAACTGGAAACTTAGAGCTAGCTTTACTTCTCTCACTCCCCATGTCCTAGATGTCTGAGGCACCCATTTCTTTCTTTCTTCCTTTCTTTCTATTTTTCTTTTTTTGTGCTGGTGCTGGGGCTTGGACTCAAGGTCTGGGCACTTGAGGCCGGCACTCTACAATGAGCAACTTGAGCCACTGCTCTACCTCAGTGTTTTTTTGGTGGTGATGGTGGTAGTGGTGGTTTATTGCAAATAAGAGTTTCACCGATTTTCCTACCTCGGCTGGCTTCAAACCATTATCCTCACATCTCAGCCTCCTGAGTATCTAGGATTATAGGAATGAGCCACAAAGTGTCTGACTAAGGCACCCATTTCTAAAACATCCAGTACAGTGGCCTGAGAAGAAAACAGCTCTAATTCATGTCTTGGGTGCCAATGCCATTGTGAATTACATACACTAACCCATCAATCTTGATCCTTGCAAAAAAAATCTCACCTATAGAGCAGTAAAGCTTGTTAGGAAATTTGTCTAAATAAGTGGCAGAGCTGAGATTTCAAGTGGTCAAGTACCTCCAAATTCTATGCACTAAAACTTGTATTGTTTCTACTTTGTTGCTGTTGTAAGCAGTATCACAATGAATGATCTTGCAGAATTACCACAATTACCATTTCACGTTTGTACAGAGATCTCTGTAGGACACAAACCCAGAAATGAGTTCATTGAATATTCAACTGTGTATTTGGTTAATTTTCACAGAACAGACTATAGTCCATAGAGGAAAAGGCACATATCTGTTCCTCCCAACAGAAATGCAATAAATGTATATCTTTTACTCATTCAGAAAACACTTATTGAACAGCTATTGTGTGTCAGGCACTATTCAAGGTGCTGGATAACACTCGGGTAAACAGCAGTTCTCATGAATCTTACATCCTAATGCAGGGTTCAGAGTTGATTAACAAATATATAAATCTGTAGTAAATACACAAAGTACACTAAATGCATGTCTGGAAAATCACAGAGGAAGACCTTACTTTGCACAATATGTGCTAATTTTTAAATGACCTATAATATCTAATATATTCTAAGTATTTAAGACAAAAATAAGTCAAATTACTTATAGAAATTATAATTTTAAATAAGCAGTCATCAAATGAATAAATCAAATGTCTAGCTACTGAGGATTCTGAGATCTGAGGATCAGGGTTCAAAGCCAGCCCAGGCAGAAAAGTCCACGAGACTCTCATCTCCAATTCATCTCCAAAAATAACCAGAAGTGGAGCTGTGGCTCAAGTGGTTGAGCACTAGCCTTGAACAAAAATAGCTCAGGAACAATGCCCAGGCCCTGAGTTCAAGCCCCCCAGGTAGGTACCAAATCAATCAATCAATCAATTAAATGTGATGAAGATGTTTTCCTTGTAGAAATAATAACTGCAAAAAATGCAGATATCCAACAGTGAGTAGGTTACCAAGCAGTTGAAATTAGTAAGCTGACCTACATGATAGAAAAAGGCCAATGCTATAGGAAACAGCTTTCCTCTGGAATATTTGTTCACAGAAAAATAGACTTAATTTCCCAAAATAGTCTTACATATAAATGAAACATACTCTTCATAAATGGAAACTCCTAAGTAGAAAAGGAACACTTAGAACTCATGAAGAGTGCAAAGTCAGACACCCGTGGCTCACAACTACAATCCTAGCTACTTAGGCAGTTGAGCTCTGAGGATTGTGGTTCAAAGCCAGCCCAGGCAAGAAACATCTGTGAGACTCTTGTCTCCAAAAAAGCTGGAAGTGCAGTGGTGGCTCAAGTAGTAAAGTGCTAGTTCCCAAGCCCTGAGTTCAAACCAAAGACTGGCAAAAAAAAAAAAAAAAAAAAGTGTTCAAGTGTCACTTGCTCATTTCTTATTAAAAGTTTAGTTTTCATTTTCAATTGAGATTGTTCTGATCCTAATATCACACAAAAAAAAAGAAAACATTTTTAATGTTTGCCTTCTAAAAACAGAGGAAGACAGTCCTGGATCTGATGATGCATCAAAATGAGATTACATGTCAACTACTGAATTTCTTCCAACAGAAGTGTTAACAGGAAAACTTCCTATGTTCAGTGCATTATACAATACATAATGTAGACACATTATTGCTGATAGCTGCTCTAAATGGCATCTCTAGATGCTAATGCTTATCTGGTGGCCTCAGGAATATAAAGACAGAAAGCAATTGAGTTCTACTTCAGTACAATATTCTCTTATGGGATTTTTGTTTATAGCTCTACACAAGTTTGGTCTCAGCAATTCCAATCACTTTAGGAAAGCCTTGTTGATGTAATTGAATATGGGTCTAAAACATGTGTATTAACCCTAAAGAGAGGAAATCAGGAAATCATAGTGAACCATACAAAGGCCCTGTCCCTGACATCAGAGGATTCACCATTCATTTTCTACAACAAATATGCCAATACCAATTACAGTGTAAATTCCTCTTATTATATTTTTGAAGAATGTCTCTAAATTACTCCTTGCTTTAAAAAAAAAAAAAACTTCTGGCTTGGTGTCACTCTGGTAATTAGAGATGAGCTATCTTGGCCCTTAGGTCGGACCCTGAAGTAAAATAATCCAGCCTGGCGTCCCATTCCCTACCCCATCCAGTAGATTTTTGCATCTACTGGAAGGCATGGGCTTACAGGGAGAGCAGCCCCTGGTCGAGCAGAGGGAGCCCTCTGAAGAGTTTAGGTAGCACTCACCGGGTGGCGCAGCCTGCACAGCCAGTTCTTCCAGAGCAGGGTTTGGAACTGGCATCCAGCCTGCCCCATGCCTGCTGCTCCCTGCTCCCAGCCAGGAAATCAGCCTGGAAGACTGGCCCTTATATCTGCCCAGCTCCAGCAGGGAGGCATGTGGCCTATTAGTCAATTCTAACAAAAGTGACTGATGCAAGAGAGATTACTGGTGACTGAATAAAGCAGGCATCAAATGTCCTCTCATGCTCTGTGTCTGCTAAGGAATCTTTTCTTTTCACTAGCTGTGCACTGTTAGGGGGGGCTGAGTTCCAGAAGGCTGCCTTGGGGCTCTTCTTGGACAAAAATACACAGTATGCCTAAAATGCTAAGATGTCAACACTCCCATCCAACTGATACACTCCATGAGAAGCCAGGCCCACATCTCCTACGGACCGTATCTTTGATGTTAATTGGATTCAATTATTTGTCCTGTTTCTTGAAACATCGGCTCTCATACTAATTTACTGAAATATTTACATCTTGGTGGTGCTTTGACAGACTAGGGGAAATAAAATGGAAGTGTTTGGTCTCAAAAGGTTACAGGAACTGTAGTTCAAGATCCATTTTGCTTCTATACCCCCTACTTCATGCTCTGCCTCTCCCTCCCTCACCCTTCACCCCCCTAGCCTCCATGCTCCCCAGGATATTGGGCTTTGACTTTCAGGCAGCCAGGAGCTCTCTGGTGGGTGGTAGGTGCTGGCATGGCGGGTGAGCCTGAGGCACCCTCTGAGGTCCACACTTGCACTCTTTGGACAGGCTGATGAACTCAGCAGGTTGTTTGTTGCTCCACATCCAGAGATCTTCTCCCTCTCCCCCTCTCACCTGCACCCCCCTTCTTCCAAGTTCGGGTCAGAAGTAGAAAATGTCTGGCAATGCAGTCCGGTCATCTCCCATTTCATAAAGCAATTTTCACAAGATGTCAATGTTCTGTAAGTGGGAAAGCAAAGGAAATAACTCAAATGTTCTATAAGCTCATTATAAAAAAAAAAAGAACATCAATTTCATTCTTTTATTTGTTATACAATTGGCCACACAAAATTGAAGAATATTACCTGGTACAATGGGGTCTAACACACACAACTGGTTTTGTCTGACCCATACTCGACTCCTCAGAGGCTGGGCAGGGTCATCTTAGTGGAACAACCATAGTTCTCCATGCAGATACACTTAGAGTATCATACATCACAGTTGGCTATCATGATTGGCTTTTAACTCAGTATAAAGAAATCTCAACCTTCAGCTTACCTATTTTATTTTCAAAGCAGACCCTTCCTATATTATATTAGAGGCACACACATCATTTCATCTCTTGCATTCAGGAAATGATGCTCTGTTATAGGGGAGAGAAACAGAACGGGTAGGGGATGGATTGACTGATTAGAAGGAATTGGTTCATAAAAGTGTGGAAGTGGGCAAGTGCAGGAGCAGTGGGTGAATCAACAAGTCAGAGACTGGTGAAGTAGCTGTTCCTGGTCCAGGACCTGGAACATGTTTTTCAGTTCAAGATTGTGCTAATTCAGATGGGGTTACTATCCAGAGAAGGTTTTTAAATTATGAAACTGAACTTAACTGACATAAAATTTCCATGTGACTCTGAAATTCTACTCCTAGGTATAGAACCAGAGAATTAAAAAGAGAGACTCAAATATGCACATGAATATTCAAAGCAATGCGAGTCACAAGAGCCCTAAAGTGTTTATAGCCCAAATGACCATCAACAAATGAACAGAAAATCAAAATATTGTTTATTCTTTCAGCCACAAAATGACGCATGGACCCATGCTACAATATAGATAAATAAAGAAAACATTGTGCTAAGTGGAAAATACCAGATTCAAAAGGCCATGTGTTGCATGACACCTGTGTGTGTGTGCACATGTGTGTGCACACATGCATGGATACATGCATAAGGGCCAGTCCTGGGTCTTGAATTCAAGGCATGGGCACTGTTGTGGAGCTATTTTCCTCACAGCTAGCATGCTGCTAATTGAGCCACAGCTCCACTTCTGGCTTTTGGGAGGTTAGTAGGAGATTAGAGTTTCACAAAATTTCCTACCCAGGCTGGGTTTGAATCCTAATCCTCAGATCTCAGCCTCCTAAGCAGTCAGAATTACAGGCTGAGATCTGAGGAGCTCAGGTGAGCCAGGTGAGCCACTGGAAACCAGCTGCATGATAGTACTTAGTATGAAATGTCAGAATAAATAGATCCATAGGCTGAATGTAGGCTAGTACTTGCAGAGGGAAGAGGTAGAGAGATTTCTTAAAAGGTATCATTTTTCAATAATAGAAATACTTTGGAACTAAATAGAAGGTATTACAAAGAGGTTTCAGTTCAACCAGCCAGTTTATGAATACCTTCCCTTCAAACTGGTAGTTGGTATGTTATATAAATTGTACCTCCGTAGATAAATTTTTCAGTGGATTTTGCGATTTCTCCCTCCTGAATCATGTAGAAACTTCAATAAAATCTGAGCCAATGCTGCTGCTAGGTGACTCTGGATTTAGATGGCCACTGTCTGCCAGGGTGCTGCTCCTGACAGCGGACAGCTGCTACCAGGCAGATACTTGATGAGGGACTTAGCTCCTTTGAACTACAAGGAGCACAAGCAGTTCACTCTTGTCACAGCAGAAGAGTGGTGGGCTTTTGCCTCACAAGTTCAGGCTCTCATAGTCAACAGAGCCCATACAAGGGGGAAAACACAAATAAGGAAGGAACCTAGTCCTGGGAACTTCACATAAGGTTGAGTTTCCTGAAGGAGGGTATGGCAGATCCTTTGGGAAGAGGAAACAAACGTCCCTTTGCTGAGCAATGACAGCTTTGCCAGTTCAAATGGCTGGTCTGCTAGACCTCCCTCTGAGAGACTTCTTCCTTCTCCTCTGTTTTCCCAGCTCCTTCCAGACCTGAGTTCCACCTCTGGCCATGCCTCCCTGCCCTGGAAACAGCCACGTTTGCCTGCTGTTCTAACTGCTAGTTTCTGAGTAGCCATTATGGCAAAGCTCTCAGCTTGGTTTCTTGACTCTTTTACCACCTATACAATGAGTTTTCCACCTTGCTTTTCTTTCCTTCATATTATTTAGCATGACTTAAGCTGTTAGGTTTCCTTATGAACCCTGATAGATAGTCTGTGGAATAACCCAGAAAAGAATAGCCTCGCGCCGGGCACCGGTGGCTCACGCCTGTAATCCTACTACTCAGGAGGCTGAGACCTGAGATCGCGGTTCAAACCAGCCGGGTCAGGAAAGTCCATGAGACTATTATCTCCAATAAGCCACTAGAAGTGGTGCTGTGGCTCAAGTGGTAGAGCACTTGCCTTGAGCTGAAAGAGCACAGGGACAGCGCCAAGGCCCAGAGTTCAAGCCCCATGACCGACCAAACAACAACAACAACAACAACAAAGAATAGCTTCCAATGGCTGCACCAGGGTCTGAGAAGAGCCTGTCAGGGTCATTTGTAGAGAATTGATTTCTCTCTCTCTTTCTCTCTCTCTCCACTTTTCTGAGACAAGTGGCTAAAAGAGAAAACAATTTGTCCACAGGGAATTCTGGGAACCCTACTTTCTCTCTTTTTCTCTGCAAATAACTGTCCCTACCACCCAGATAGCTTCACTCAACATAAAGCCATGGAGGCCAGCTGGATGGTGCCATAGCAATTATCCAGGGAGAAGAAAATGATGGCCTCCAACAGGGGTTTGGGAGGAGGAGGTACAAAGGATCAAACAGTACAACTGTGAAGTCAACAGAAGAAATAAGGAAAAGCACCTAATAAGTGCTGGGGGCATGCTCAAGTTGTACAGTGCCTCTCTAGCAAACGCAAAGTCTTAAATTCAAACCCCAGTACTGTCAAAAAATTCCTAATGCAGTCCTGCTTTCTCCCAGTGTTCTTTACTCCCAGATTTTCTGACAGAGATCATCAAGAGATTGATCTCTTGGTAATATATGCCCCTACTGTCATAAATTTGGCATGGGAAAACTGCCTCCACCTGCCTGGACAACCAATTGTGCCTTATCTCTATTCTGTGAATGACAGAGAAAAGTGTAGAAGTCCAAATGTAGTCAGAACAATTAGAGGCAGAAACCAGGGAAAATAAACTAATCAGCAACTGGCCCAGGGATAGAGCTCAGTGCTAGCCTAGCATAGGTAAAGCCAGAGGATTAATCCTCAGCATAAAAAAAAAGAAAAAAAAAGACAGAAAATGAGAGAGAATGAGAGAGAGAAAGAGAGACAGAGAGAGAGAGAGTAGGAAAGAGAGAGAGAGTAGGAAAGAGTAGGAATTTTTTAACACAGAGGGAAAAAATCACCAAAGGATACAGCGAGAAAGGGCCTGCTACAAGCCAGAAAAAATTCTCACAGAAACCAGCCCTTATGACACCTTGATCTTGGGACATGGCCTGTAGAACTGTGAAAAAGAAATATCCAGCCGGGCACCGGTGGCTCACGCCTGTAATCCTAGCTACTCAGGAGGCTGAGATCTGAGGATTGCAGTTCAAAGCCAGCTCGGGCAGGAGAGACCGTGAGACTCCTATCTCCAATAAACCACTAGAAAACTGGAAGTGGCACTGTAGCTCAAGTGGTAGAGCGCTCGCCTTGAGCTGAAGAGCTGAGGGACAGCGCATAGGCCCAGAGTTCAAGCCCCACAACCGACCAAAAAAAAAAAAAGAAATATCCATTGTCTCAGATACAAGGGATTCCAAGAAATGAGCTTCTATTTGAGTGCCTCAAGAGGAGGTAAGAAATTTAATGCTAAAAATTAGATCAGAAAATGTCTTTGATTCTGTAAAATACTGAGAGCATCATGGCTTTGGCAGAATTATCTTTGTGTAAAAGGATCCTTAGAATTAAATTTCCCGAAAATAATTTCTGAATATGAATTTTTCTCAAAGGAGAACATACAGTTATGGATTATCTGTGCCGTCATTCTTGGATGCCTCATGCGGCAATCATGAGAAATCACAATTCCATATTTAATGACTACTGTGTCATGGGCTTCTCAGAATGATTTATGAAGGTAACATTTGGATTTATGATCCACAATAAAAATTGCTCCCAAGATTTGTTCTTTGTTAATCCCTCCAGGTATCTCACCTTCCACCTACAGCCCAGGCTAATGAATTCTTTACATTAAGATTTCATTCCTTAATCAGAGACACAGATTGCGTAAGGCAATAAGAAGCCAGCCACACATAATGGAGGAAAGAA